CAGCACTCGTCTCCTCCTGCTGGAGAAGCTGCAGAGCTTTTTCTGCTGGAAGTCATGAGTTGTTTGCTGGTTTTCTTCCTGCTTGGCCTGCTTTGAAATGAGGAAGAAGCTATTCCTCCTGGCAAGCCTGGGTAACCCAGAAGGGCAGCAGTCCCCTCCCTGAAGCAGCACAGGCAGCCAGCTCCAACAGGGAGAAGCCGGATCCAGGATGCTGACTGGTCAGCAGCTGACCTCTCTGCTGGCCCCTGCTGGCTCCTATGTATCCCGCTGGGGCTATCTTCCCTGAAGAGCACAGGCTCTGGAGGCAGAGAGGGTCAATTCTGGCAGCCACCTGCTTCTAGCTGAGTGATCTCAGGAAAGATACTATACCTCTCTGTGACTCAGTTTCCTCATCTGTCAAACAAAACGATCCCACAGAGTTACTATGAGGTTTAAATGAGCAATTACAAAGAAAACACATAGAACAGCACCTGGAACACAGGAAACACTCGATGAGTTTAGCTGTCACTACTACTCTTTTTGTTTGTACCTAAGGCTCCCTGAGACCATGTCTCTGAGGTGCCCAGCCAGACCAGGACGGATGCTAAGGTGACTGCCGTGGGGCAGAGGAGACAGCGGTACAAGAGACAATCCAGGCTCGAGCCTGGAGACATCCAAGCCTCCTTCAGTCTCCTGGCTTCCCTCTCAGCATGTCAGAGAGCCGCAGGCATGCTGAGTGGTGCTGCCTGCTTCCCAGCACGGCCAGGAAAGCTCTGGTACAAAGTGGCCTCTCCCGCCTCACACTCTGCTGTGGTTCCTGCTGGTTCCCCATTCATGTTCCCCGTGCTTGGATCCTTCATTGATATCCTGTGAGAATGCTCCAGGCATTTTCCTTGAGATAAGTAATTCCAGACAGCTATTGCTTGAGATAAATCCAGTCCAGGGATTTGAGGGAGTTAGCTGCGTATTATCTTTAAAAGCCACTGCTGAATATTTCCTTGAGATGTGGGGTCAACCTGGTGAGTGTACCTATAAATTTACCCTACTGCTTCTTCAGAAGGGGACATGTAGGAGGGCACACAGTGTTGCCTGGCCCCAGAAAGGGACATCGGCAGTGTGCCATCTACACTCTGCCTTCTGCCCACCAGTCCCCCAGGTTCTATGGGAAGGACAGTCCTTAAGATTCACATTAGGTATAGGGACGACTCGAGCTCAACTCCTACTTTTTGGATTTCAACCCTTTAATCTTCATGTCCCAGCACCCAGCACCCAGCACCTGGCAGGGCTATCAGTGGGAGCTCAGTGAAATGCCAGTCACACTGACCGGAGGCTTCTCCTTCTCTAGAATCACAGCTCAGAAACAGCCACAGTCGTATTCGAGTCAGGCGAGTCTGTCATGCGCACGCAGGTCTTTGCAACTGCCAATGTCCCTGATAAATACTCTACTATACTTAGAGGAGGGTGGGTTGTCCTGAGGATTCTTTGGTGTCCGGTAATTATTAATATGACTACCGAGTTATGTTAGATGTTGTGTTTACATGTAGGTTACTCAACAGCCCAATCGCCATCTCTTAATCAACTTTAGAGAAGAAATCATGGAAAGGCCACCACATTTCCCACTTCCCCCACTGATCTTTTGCCTCAGCGATCTGGTCTCCTAATTGTCGCCATGCCCACTCCCTCCCTTCCACCACACTCGTTCTCTCACTGTTTCCTTTATCTGAGGCGTCCTCCTCTCTCCTCTTTGTTACCACAGAGCCCAACCCTATTTCAAGGCCACACTCAAGTTCAAAACTTCTACGAAGCCTTACGACCTGTGCTCCATGGTCGTTCTCCACTGCTGCTACCCCGGTGTCTCCCCTAGTACCTAGCATTTCACAGCAGGCTATTTCAGGCATGTGTCCCCTAATCACATGTTCCGGCCAGTTACCTCCACCACCGCTCTATTGCGATTTCTTTCCAAGGTCAACAATGACATCAGACAGAGTCAGGTTCAATTCTTGGATTTGCTAATCTCGGTGTTCTTCTTCAGTCCTCATCCTTACTGACATGGATATTGTACAACACCCCCTTCATAAATCCTCTGTCCCGTTTTTAGTCTGGTGCACTACCCAGAGACCACCTCTCCTGCTTCTCTCATGACTGCTCCCACCCGTGCGTGCTAAGCCTGGGCCCCCACTCTTATCCCTTGGCCCTTGTGTCCTAGGACACCTTCACAACACTAACTTCACCCCTTACCTCATCTTTGGTCCCTAGTCAGCTGGGAACACTTGTGGGACAGCCCACCTGGCTGTGCTGTCACCTCATGTTCTACACAACTAAAATCCATTCCACTACTACTTGTTGAGCGTCTGCAAAGCCAGGATCTGTTCTAGTCATTGGCCAGCAAACCGCATGAAAGCTCTCGCTCCACGTGTCCATTGGCAAACTCACGGATATGTAAAAGGGGTAGAGCTATGTAACGAAGCATTATTCTGCCTTAAGTTGGGAAAGGGAACTCTGACACATCCTACAACATGAATAAACCTGAAGACATGGTGCTAGGTGAAATAAGTCAGTCGGAAAAAGGCAACTACTATAGGATTCCACTTTTATAAGGTAAGGAAGTAGAATGGTGGTTGCCAGGGGCTGGGGAGGCCAAGGGGGAGTTATTGTTTGATAGGTACAAAGCTTTCACAACATGCAGAGACTTCCGGAGACGGAGGTGGTGGTCGCACAACAACAGGTGTATACTTAATGCCACACTGACCTGTACACTTAAAACTGGTTAAGATGGTAAATTCTATGTTGTGTGCATTAACCACAATAAAAAGTCCCTGGCCTCTTCACTTTTCTGTATATTTTATTGCCTCGATGACAATGAAAAGACACTGTCCCCCAAGACCTTACACTCCAGAAGCGAGACTGTGGCTGACTCCCCAGCAGCTCCTCCCAAAAGCCCACCCCCTGCGCTCCTGCTCTCCAGGCTTGTGCCGCGGACACTTGATTCCTCCCCTCCCCCATCTCTGAGTCCCCTCCATTGTTTCCCTTTAAACCTTTCACCTCAGTCCTTCCTCCTTCCCAGTATCACAATCTCCACCATGTCTCGAATTTTGACAGAAAAACATGAGGAAGGGGGGGGAGAAACTCAGGAATGAGTTTCCTGGTGCCACTGCTGACTTCAATGAATAACTTTGCACACGAAGCTCTAACTGCCCCACCCATTATGTGATGAGTTTGAAATGACGCTCACAAAGGCTCCTTCCAGCTCTGGCACAGGCTAAATCTCCAGTGGACCCCACCCAGCCCAGCCTGTGGTCTGGTGTGCCCTTGCAGGTTCTCAGCGGCCCAAGAAGAAAAGCCTTTTTCAGGAGGGGAACCCAGCCAGGGTGGCAGCTCCCACCCAGTGCCCCTTGGCTCTCTTTCCTGCCAGCTTGAACTTTTACTGTTTGCAACCTTGTGGCTTTGGATTACTTGACCTCGGATTCCACCAGCCCTGCACTGCTGCTGGGACCTCTTCTGACCTGACTGCCGGTAACAGGGGCAGCCTCGTCTGCTGACAGTGGGCCCTGCTCTGCTGCCACCAGCTGGGCTGCCTGGTGGCTGTGCAACAAGGGTGTTGCCGGCTGGACTCTGGACTCTCCCTGGGCCATCACCGTGGCCCCTGCTGACGTGCCAGTCCTGGCCCTGGTCCCTGCAGTGTCCTCTGAGTTCACCTCTGATGCAAGCTGGGTTTACAGTCTGTCTGTGATTGAGTCACTCGCTCCACAAATGTCCACCATGATGTCTAGTCCATGAGCAGCACTGTCTCGGCAAGAGATGCATCAGAAGGGAACACAACTGCTTCTCACGTCAATGCTGCACTGCCAGGACGAGCTTCCCCACTCAACGCGGACTTCATCCAAGTCAAACTCCTTCACACAACAGGTATTTCTGGAGCACTTCTTATGTGCCAAGCACTACTCCAGGCATCCTAATAAAACACCGATTTTAAGAAGTGTAACCTTCTACGCAGTACAATGGTTACAGGGCCTGAGCTATGTGACAAGAATCTCAATTACGTGTCCTTCAGTAATTACAAAATGTCCCCGAGTCTCGGTTTCCTCACTTGAAAATGAAGGTCGTAACAGTAAGTAAACGATAAGCTTGTCTGAAATATAAATGAAAGAGTCCATGTAAAATGCTTGGAACAGTATATGTCACAATAGCAAGCACCTGGATATTAATCGTTTTTTATTTTTATGTAACCTAAATATGCCAAGAACTTCAAGAGTCCCACCCTACACAACCATATCCCAACAGTGTACTTGCAGATGTGTTGGGGCTTTAACAGAATGAAACCCCAATGTCAACATCACTAATAAAGAATAAAGATACCTATTGGGATGGGGGGAAAGGCAGAAAACTATACCTGAACAACCATTAAAATAAAAAAAAAAAGAATAAAGATACCTGTGCAAAGTAATATATACAATCCTAATGCTTTCACATGGGTCAACCTTGGGGATATCATTAAAGATATGGATACCAAAAGCTTTTGAGAGGATAAAATATTTCTGGCATATGTACTCAACAATATATAAGTAGTTTTCTACAAACCAGTAAGAAAAAGGCAACCTTATAGAAGAATGAGCAAAAGAGCTGAACAGGCACTTCATGAAAAAGGGTACCCAAATAGCCACTACCACGAAAACACAACGATGCAAATGCAGACCACGGTGCAATGCTATGGAATACCCACCAGAACGAGGAAAACGATACCAAATCTCGCCATGAAGCAACCAGAACTTTTCTACTCCGGTAGAAAAGCAGAAAAGTTCTGTTAGAGCTACTTTGACACTAACTACTAGGACTATGAGCCAGCAGTTCCACTCCTACATATACACCCAACAACTACGTGTATATGTAACGCACATATATACACTTATACACACGTGTGTATGTACAAATATCCATTCACCAAAAGATATACTTAAACATATTCATAGTGGCACTGTTAGTAATAGCCCAAAATCTGTACACAGCTCAAATATCCATCAACCATGTAGTGGATAATAAACTGTGATTTATTAATACAATGGAATACTACACAGCCACAGGAATGGGAGACTACAATAACACACATTGTGGATGAATGTCACAAACTAATGAGTGAAAGAAGTCACGCACAACAGAGAACATACTGTGTGATATAGAGGAGAAAAGCAGGCAAAGCTAATCTGTAACTCTACCAGTTGAAAAGGGCAGTTCGTGACTGGAAAGCAGCTCAAGGCATTTTCAGGGAGGTGGGGCCTGACAATGTTCGACTTCTTTCCTTGACCTGGAAGCTGGTTGCAGGCTGCGTACACTTTGTGCCAAACACTTAGGATTTGTTCCCTTTTCTGTATGTGTTATATGTCAGGTAAATATTTACCTGACATATAACAACAATAACAACAACAACAACAAAACAGCTAATGAGAAAGATTTTTTTTAACTAGGAAAAATACTTTTCTCCAAATGGATTGTTGCCCCAAAACCAACAAATTTTTAGTGCCTCCACGCAATCTGAAAGACATATACACATTTCTGATCACTTTCCTATTGCCTTTCCATAAATGGCAGAGAAACTAGTCTAAAACTTCCAAACCATATAAAATAAACACATTTTCAACACTTAAAATTAATTTATCAAGCTTTATGTTCTATGAGACTGAATTTGAAAATGTATTTGGGTTTTATAGCTGCAGGTTGAAATATGGAGTAATTCTGAGAAACAAGGTTTTTTAATGAGAAGAAGGTGGTGGGGCCGGTGGCGAAGGGAGTAAAAACCAAGAAGACAGGGGGGAAAATGCAGCTCCAAACTAGCAACCCAGGGCTTACATTTCCAGCAGCTTCCAGAGCAGTGACGGGACTCTGTGCCTGGAAGCCAGGAAGTCCAAGCAGAAGCCAGAGACTCAAAGACAAAGTCAGGATCTGGAAGCAAGATGGTAGCTAAGTTTATAAGGAGGCTCCAAGACTATGGCAGGCAAGAGAACCCAGAAAGCTGGTAGGTAACTACAAGCTGCCAAAAGGTTAGAAGTGTGATCTGACTTCCTGACCCAGTACAGGAAATAGTGGCTGGGTGTGGGCAGCCTTGGGTACATAAGGAAGTGACTTCAGCTGATCATGGAATAAGAGGATGTGACCCCGGGTGTGCTCAGACCTGCACATGGGATGAGCAAGCTGGTTCTTTCTCTACTGGGTGTGACTTTCTAAATATACACACATTCCTCTGTGCAACGCAATCCATTCAAATGTTTACCATTACTGAACAGGACTTCGGAGGCTGTGGGTTTCGACTGCCCCAGGAGCCAGCTGGGGTGGCAGTGATCTAGAACCTGCCTCCTAAACCCACAATCATCATCTTAGTCCCTTTACATGAGGATAAGGGAAGCACTGAACCTGAATTTCAAGAACATCAGAATTTCAAGAACACAATCCACACCCCTCCCCTGTAATTTCCACCAACCAAAGGAGACAGAAAACTCAATATTTAAAATCAAATTAAAAAAACAGGTAACCTCACCATCACTTGCATTTATTCTTGAGCTCATCCAAAAATATACTGGTATCACTCAAACACATGGAAACTGAATGACTGTGTCTGGGGTGAGGACGTCAAACGTCCCCAGGGGAGTATCTGTACCTCGCCCAGGATGCCTGGCCTTACCTTGGCTCCTGCCCTGCAACTCTCCTCTGCCACCACTGCCACCACCTCCTCTTTCCCCATATCGCAAAGTTCGGCTCCCGCTTTCACTGTGGCATCACAAGCAAAGAGTCCAGCAAATGAGTTTACATAGGAAGAACCTTGAAGCCTGCCCTGAAATGTAAAAAGCCGGAGTATTCTAGAATTCACACACAGCTACTCTCCCCCATGATCTAGGGAAAGCCAGGACCTCACTTTGGGGAAAACTTCCCACTTCCCTGTCCTGGCCTTCAAGAAGCCGTGCCGACTGCAGGAGGGTGGTGTGGGCAGGTGGCATGCACTGGGCTGCCGAGGTATCTGGCAACAGGCTGGAAGTTTCATCTGGGAAGCAACATCATGTCCTCCAGGGCAACGAGTATGTGTTTCCTACATTTCAGAGACCTTAGCAAGTGGAACTCAGTTCTGCAAGGCAGAGCAAGCATCTCATTGAAAGGAGAAGGAAGGAAAACAGCTACAGGCTACACTCCCATCATTTCCACATATTTGCTTGGAATGGCCTTCTTGTTGCCCTTAAAGTTCATTTCAAATGTAGCAGCATCTAAATAGGCCAACATCACAGCCTATTCAGGTGCTCCAGGGACACAGCTGCACCGAGCCACAGGCATGACTGAGCTGGAGTACGCGTGCTTAATGGTGGGATTCTACGGCAAACTGAAGTTAGTATGAAGCTAGGAAAAAAACTCCTAAACACAATTTTATAAGACACTGTAAATGCTGAGGATAGGGAAAGTGGAGATGAAGGGACAAGCAGTGGCCAGAGAGCCCTGCAATCATTTCCAACAGAAGCAAGGATCTGGATGTAATGATCTCTCAGGGCCATTTCTACAAGACTGTCCCCCTACACCAGGGTTCCTCAACCTCAGCTCTACTGACAGGTTGAACTGGACATGTTGTTCTTCATCACGCAGAGGGCTGCCCTGTGCATTGTATGATGTTTAGCGGCATCCCTGCCCTCTACCCACTAGATGCCAATAATACTCCACCTGCTGCTCCATGTGACAACCAAACATGTCTCCAAATGTTCACCAAATGTCCCCCAGGGGCAAAGTCGCCCCTGGCTGAGAACCACTGCCTTATACTAACAAATCATGTCTCACATAGGCAAGACCCCAGCCTCGGCCAAAGTATAGTCATCCACCTTAGAAAGGGTTTAGACAATGCAGCCTGGTCATTATCTCCTTGGCCATTAAGACAACAGAACTCCCCAAGCAAGCTGCCACCATCAGATCTGAGAGGTGGAAGGAGGTCCAGGTGGGGATATTGTGTCTCAAGTTCCACAAAGCCCACCTCCTCCCAGATATGGTCCACATCAGAAGACAAGCTGATCAGAGAAACCGCCAGGTATCAAAAGTCACTTCACATCCTAATTCATGTCAAGTGTTGAGTACACAAATTCCACGTACTTAGCATATTTTTCAGACCATAAGATGCACCCAAGTTTAAGAGGAGGAAATAGGAAAAAAAAAACCTTTGAAGCAAAAAATGTGGTATAATATTTAATAACATAAATAACATAACATTTCACCAATGTAAATAAATGTAAATAGAACTCAACAGCAGCATTAACAACCATTATGCCTCCCAAATTTCAGGGGGGAAAGGTGCATCTTATAGTCCAAAGAATACATGTGGTTAAATTTCTGGGAGAAGGGAACAGACAGCTCAGTCCCTCAAATCCCTGTTCAACTAACCATCCCAGCTCTTCCCTTTCCTCCACTCAACAACCTTGACCAGAATGTCACCTAGGATACCAGATGCCCCCCAAAAAATCTACCAAAGCTCAGGTCTTGCTCTGCAGGTCCTTGAAAATCAAGGCTGGCACTCTAGCCAAGAGGCGTTGAAGAATCCGCAGGCAAAGGAGAAGGAACTGAAGTGACAATTGCAGACACGTGAGGGAGGGACAGATGGAAGCCTAAAACCAAGGGCAGTGGGGCGGAGCAAAGTCTGAAAGGGGCAGAGCCAGGGAGATCCCAGGGACAGGCCCCAAAGCTTCTGGGCTGTGGAAAGGGAAAGATCCTGTGTAACCACAGACTTGCCCAAGCAGAGATGACGCTGGCTGCGGTGCTGACTATAAATCTCGTCCGCTCGGGGCTGGGTTTGGCTCAGGGCAGGCCGCCCCCCACCAGCTACAGTTTTGCTAAATTTAGTTAGTGCTGTTCCCAAGTCACCCAAACGACACCACTCTTCGTGTCCATTTCAGGTTCACCCGGGGACAGGCGCAGAGGAGCGGGACTTGTCAAGAACAGATCTGCCCTCCTGTGACCTCTCCCCTCCCCACTGAAGCCAGGGGCCCAGGGGAGCAGAAGACATGAGAATCCACAGTCAGAGGTCTCCAGGGCTCTGCAAGCAGGCTCAGCCCACAGCGGCACTCAGAGAAAAAAGGGGGTACAGGTTCCAGAGGAACACCCTCACTCGGCCCGCTCCACTCCAACTAGGTTTCACTATCGGGGAGTCCACAGATGCCGCTGGGAGCGGTGACACGGAGATGTGCTCTCAGGACGGGCCTGGGAGAAGGCTCCTCTGCCTAGGAGATAAAAACGTGTTCGATCAAATAGTTACAGGCACTAAAATTCAGAGGCTAAGGCAGTGGTTTCTAGACCTGGTTGCACACCGAAACCACCCAGGTGAACACACCTGCTGTATTGTGCAACTATGTATGATGCCAGGTGGGTCCTGGGAATACCGCAGGGAATACTTTGTAAGGTATACGACTGTCTAATCAAACTCTGTACACCTGAAACCAATACAAAATAATACTAAAAGGAAACTGTAATTGAAAATTTAAAAAAAAAGACTGTTGCCCAAGTCCCATCTCCCAAGACTGAGGAGATGGGTCAAGGGTGTGATGTCATTGGCCCGCCTTTGGAAATTCCCACGTTGAGACAAGTTCGGAAGTGGTGGGTAAAAGGCACGGCTTCTGCCTCCAGGCTGCGGTAGGAGGGGCAGGGGGAGGACTTCTGACCCAAATGCCGTGTGACCTTGGGCAAGTTATTTAACCTTCTAAGCCTCAGCTGCAGGAACTGTAAAATGCACATGATAATATGTAACACCTGCCTGACGGTGAAGCTCTAAGCAAGGGTGTCCAAACTTTTAGCGTCCCTGGGTCTCACTGGGAGAGGAGTTGTCGTGGGCCACCCGTTAAATACACTGCGACATGTAATCACAAAAAAACCTCATGATGTTTTAAGTAACTTTATGACTTTGTGTTGGGCCGCATTCACTGCCACCCTGGGCCCCAAGTGACCCGTGCACCGCAGGACGGACACCCCAGAGCGAGACGGTAAAGCACACAGAACAGTGATATGTAGGGAGAACTCACTAAAAGTTAGGAATCACTATCACTGTTGTTATAATGATGAAGAGGAAGAGAGGAGAGCAGCAACCAGGAGCTGTCTCTATGTTGTGCGTGGACTAAGAGTCTCTAGGTCGGAACTGGGGCTACGCCTACAAGTGGGAGGGGAAAGAGGCTCCAGAGCCACCTCTGCTTAGGAGAAGGACCATCCATTCTCCCGTCCTCTGTTCGCACTGTTCCTCCCACCTTCAACGTCCTCCCCTCTCCACATCCGTCTAAATCCCACCACTCAGGGCCTAGCTCTAGGCAACCCTGGGCCTCTCCCTTCTCAGGTCTCCAACGATACTTCCTGTGTGCGTATAACATTGGAACTATAGAATTTGCTATCCTGAAGCTACCAGCTAAATAAGTATCTGCCTATGGGATGGATGAATGCTTTGCTATGTACTAGTCTGGCCTCCTTAAAGAGACAATGAGTGATTTGGGGGAGGCCCTAAAACTCATGCTTCTGTTTGTCCCCTGCAGCACCCAGCACCATACTGGACACACAGGCCTTGATTAATGAAGTTTTTTGTGGAACGAAAACACACATGTTGAGACAGCAGTGCTAACTGCACATCAGCAAGGAGCCAGGTTCCGTGCCCAGGAGAAGCCGGGTCAGCACCAAAAACCATGGGATTCTGGACTCTCTACCCCATCATTATAAGGACAGGCCACCACTCCTTTCTGTCCCTAGAGACCTATCCCACCCACCCACTTCCAGGGCAAAAGGAATGCTGGGCAAACAACTCTGCTCCCCAGCACTCTGCTATTCCCAGGCCTTGACATGGGAGGCCATGTGTCTAGTCACTTCTGCCACGAAGCCACCAACCCCATGACTCCTTAAACCCAACTGCAGCCACCAGGCAAAGCCAAGGCTGCCCACATAAATGTCCAGAGCAGCTGGGCACCAACAGGCTGTAAGCCTCTTACAGATTAAAGGTCCCAATTTAAACCTCTATTTGAGGTAGGACAAGCGGGTCAGGGATCCACAGGCCAGTTGGCACAGCTGGTGGAAGGGGAAGCAGTGAGGATCCAAGAAAGACTCCTCTCCTTTGGGGGGAAGATGGGCCAGAAGGTAACAGGTTGAAGTGGGGTCACTGAGAGGGATCTACCAGGAAGTGCTCCCCGATTGAGCAAACACTGTCTCATCCAATGAACCTGAGACACGGAACAACAGGACAAGATGTAAGTCGGAATGGCCTTCCTCTCCCTGTCCTGACACCTGGGTACAGAAATAGCTGAGAAAGTCAGGAACGAGACAGAGAAGAGGCGAGGTGCTGGATACACCGCACTCCAGGCGTCACGCCTGGCGTATAGCAAGGGGAGGAAGAGCTCTGCCCCCAGGAGTCCCCACATTTGCCCCCTGCTGTGCTTGGGGTGCAGGGGCTCAGGGGCTCTGCCCTTCCACCTCCAGTGGTACCTCTGGTGTTGGCTGGCAAGTAAGTGAGCCAGGTGCAGGGTAGATTTTCAATCACCGCCCCTCGCCCTCACGCGTCCACGGAATGAACGTGCCTGCGACACACAAAGGCAGGCATGTCGGTGCTGTGCTGCCCACACTGGTCTTGTAAAGCTCCAAGCAGCCTGTCTGTGTATCAGATACATGACAAACTCCTAGAGGACAGGAAGTCTGGTTTCCTCATTTATTTTTTTAACTGAAGGTACACAGAACTCTTCACAGGAATTTTTGTGAGGACAGGAACAAAAACAATCCCATTTTAAACTATCCTCAACCCAGTCATTGTACTTTCCCAAGTACAGCCCGTGAGATCTCGCCACCTCCTCCTACAGGCAGCCCTCCCTCATGGATCAGCACAGCTAAGGAGTCCTTCCAATCCTGTACCATGGTGACGTGAAACTCTGACAACTCCTGCCCGTAAGCACTATCCCCAGAAATGCAACACACTTCTTCTCTACATCTGTAATTACCACTTGGCTGAGTATCTCAGTTGGAAACCAGGTCACAGAAAAAAGAGAGCATTCCATATTCTGAATTAGTAAGTTTTACAGATTCATTATTTTCTACCTTGACTCAGGTACACTTTTTTGTTCCCCGATAAACAGAGCAAACACTGGAGCTCTCTACTCTTGTCAGTGCACAGAGACTCCCCATTCTCCATGGCTTCCCCAAGCTCATCAGAGACGCTGTAGTGCCTGCCATTCATCAGTGCCCTTAAAACCTGGAAAGTCTACACAGTGAACACTCATCTGAGTCAATCCCCAAAGACTCCAGGGGAGAACAACTGTCTGATCCCGTTTTAAGAGCTGACAGCTCCCCCAGCCTATAGTGGGATCTGTAAATACTCTGATGGCAGATGCCGAGCCGCGCTGTTGTGGGATTTTTTTCTTGGAGAAAGAGACTATGGTTTCCTTGCAATTCCAAATGAGAACTGGCATAAAAAGAGGTTAAGAACCACCAAAATCCAATTCTCAGGAATTTAGTTGGTCAGGGCCCTTCTGAGACCACCCTACGTTTGCAACACATGGCCCCTTCCACCACATACACCCCCTACAAGAAAGTGGACCACCTTCTCCTGAGTCATTTCCTACTTCATCCCTGGGCCACTGCCTTGTACTTTTGTGTGAAGAAGCCCCACTCTTCCCACGCCCAACTGTTAGCAGACACATGTTTACTGAGCACCTGATAGAGACTATGCTAGGCTCTGAGGATTTCACAACAAGGTAGACGAGATGTTCTTGCATTCCAAAAGACACCCTCCAATTCCCAACTGTCCCTTGTGGCTGATACAACACTTTCTACCCTCCCTCTGCATCCCTTTCTCTGCTTTGTCTTTTGGCACAGGCGCCTGTCTCCCTCACCAGCCATCGCTCCCGGAGGACAGAGGCCACATCTTGTCCACACTGGCACATTCCTTCCTTTCCCACCCCAATCCCCACTCCACCCAGAAAGACACAGCTTTTCACACAGGAGGCCCTGTACAAATGTGCCTCAACGAATGGATGCTGATCAGTTAGCTAGGGGTCTAAGCAGCAAAGACTGGCCAACTGGGGACAAGCCTTGCTCATTGAGCAGGATCCAGAGGACGTTGGAAGATGGCCTCTATGCAACAGAAAATGCACAGGGCCTCTGCCCAGCCAGCCACAGCCTGTGGCTGTCATCCCAGACGTTCATCTTTTAAATTGTGCTTCTGGTCACGGCAGCTGAAAAATAACCCCAAGGGAACGTATTCAGCTGACATGCCTCCTGGACTGTCAAGGCAGATGAAAAGTGTATTTGCACAAGCATTTTCAGCATACAGGTGAGCTAACGGAAGACATGCCACAGTGCTTCAAAGACATATTACCTCTCTCTTTCAAAACAGAGGTGGCTCCTGCAGCTGCCTGGGCCATGCCTCCCAGCAACCTCTGCCAGCTCACTTCCAGAGCAGTGCCGAGCACAGTCACCCACCTCCTACATCGCCCGGTGGTGCCTGAAGCAGCCACCATCTCTGCCACCTGTCCGATCCAGAATGAGGCATCAAGTGTATGATGCTGTTTTCCCGAATGTCACCCATGCTTTCAATACTACTGAAGATACGGCTCTAGAAGCCACCGCAGAAATCTAGCTGCTGGACTTCACTGTCTAACAAATACAATTTTATAGTGCTGAGATCAGAAAGTGCATCTATTCCCCAATACTCTTCGGTCAACAAATACTGGTGAAAGGCTGGCCATGAAGGCGAGGTTAATATGGAAGAACTGACCAGAGCAACCACCACTGATGTAGCAGGTACAAGATCCATTAGGATGAAGAATTAGGGTGCCTATTTATTTTTATTTAAAAATAAGGGAGTAAGCTTTAGTATTATTTAATATATGAACTGCCACAGCACACTCCCTCGGTTTGTGTCAGGTGGCGCCCATCATTTGAGGGACATCTTGTGTCTGAGAAGGGAGATCCGAAACACACAGGCCAACCGCGGCTCCCCAAAGGTGTGCGGACTGCACTATTGTTTACACTCAGCCAATTCAGCACATTTAAGATCGCATCTTCGATGGATACAATAAATACGTCGTAGTAATGACAGATGAGCGAATCACCTGGCCACACGGGTGTGGACTACCCCGTGGCGACGTCCCCAAAAGAGATGCTTGACTCAACGACTTTCTTTTTAACCAGAAAACAGGGTTCCAAAATTTGCTGACCTCTTCTGTAACGGGTGCCTGTCAGTAGAAGGCTACTTAAGGA